TCAATGTTGATAAATGTAAGGTTCTGCACTTGGGGGCTAAGAATATGCATGCATCATACATACTAGGGGGGGGGGGGTACAACTGGGGGAATCAATGGTGGAGAAGGATCTAGGAGTTCTGGTAGATCACAAACTTGATAATGGCATGCAATGCCAAGCTGCAGTTTTTAAAGCGAGCAAAATCCTCACTTGTATTAAAAGATGTATAGACTCCAGAGAGAGAGATATCATATTACCCCAATACAAATCATTAGTAAGACCTCATCTGGAATATGCAGTTCAATTTTGGGCACCAATTCACAAAAAGAACGTTGGGGAAATGGAGAAAGTACAGAGAAGGGCAACCAAACTGATAAGAGGCATGGAGGAGCTCAGCTATGAGGAAAGATTAGAGGAACTGAATTTATTCTCTCTTGAGAAGAGCAGATTATGGGGGGATATGATCAACATGTATAAATACATCAGTGGTACATATAGTGAACTTGGTGTAGAGCTATTCACCCGGAGGTCATCACAGAGGACAAGGGGGCACTCTTTACGTCTGGAGGAAAAGAAATGTAATCTCCAAATATGAAAAGGGTTCTTCACAGTAAGAGCTGTGAAAATGTGGAATAGACTCCATCAAGAGTTGGTTCTGCCCAGCTCAGTGGATTGCTTTAAAAAAGGCCTGGATTCTTTCTTGGATACACAGAATATAACTGGTTACTGACATTTATAGGTGAAGTTGATCCAGGGAATAACTGATTGCCTCTTGGGGATTAGGAAGGAATTATTCTTCCTGCAGGAGCAATTAGATCATGCTTTGCTAGGTTTTTTTGCCTTCCTCTGGATCAACTGTGGGTGTAGGATTATAACTTTTTTTTTTTTTAATGGTTGAACTAGATGGACTTTTGTCTTTTTTTCAGCCAGACTATTTTTATTTTTTTTATTTATTTCAGGTACTTATATAGCGCTGTCAATTTACACAGCACTTTACATATATATTGTACATTCACATCAGTCCCTAACCCTCAAGGGGCATACAATCTAAGGTCCCTAACTCACATTCATACAAATACTGTACATACTAGGGTCAATTTAGGCAGAGCCAATTAACAACCCAGCATGTCTTTGGAGTGTGGGAGGAAACCCAGAGTCCCCAGAGGAAACCCATGCAGGCACAGGGAGAACATGAAAACTCCAGGCAGGTGGTGCCGTGGCTGGGATTCGAACCAATGACCCTAGTACTGCCAGGTGGAAGTGCTAACCACTTAGCCACTGTGCTGCCCATGCCTATGTGTATAAGGTATTTCTATCCCTAATACAAAATGCCAAAAAGATGCCAGAGACTATTTATTTTCTATCTGTACAAGTTAAAACATTAAGAAGCAATTCTCCCTCCATTAACAAAAATTTGGCAAATATGCAACTGTTTAAAGACGTTGTCAGTAATTATTGTGCAATTAAATTGTGTATGGATGCCTAATTAAATGCCCTTTTCAACACAGGATAATAAACTGGAAACTCACTTTGCAGATTTTATGTAAAAAAAGAGGAAATAAATAACACATTTGCTTGCAATAAAAATGTAACTGCAATATATGAGCTGCTAAGTTCTATTTAAATTTTACCATTATTTTTCAAATATTGAATATCTGCTGGCCTGGTAAATTTTAATTGGAATGTATAGGTATACAGTTTTGAGTGGGGTACACCTTGACATCAATAACAGAACCTCAAGGATATGGATCTGGTGTGTATTTTTAAGGAGAACCTCATGCCGTTTTATTAACTTTTCTGTATGGGGTTCCCAATTAACATGTATCCCAAACCCTCATTTAGGATAAGGTTATGGTATAAATTAAGGAAACTCCCAGCCATTTGTTTACAATTAGATGCAAAACAGCCAAAACTGTCATTTGCCTGGAATATATATATTTTTCTTTTTTTTTATAGCATTAACATTTTTAAATGCCAATTTTGTTACAGAAGCTTGTATCCATTGTACAGATGTAGCACTCAATAAGCAGGGTCAAGGCATCCGCAGGCATATTATTTAAAGGAATTTTGCCCTTATTATTGTTGCCCTTTAAACATTATTAAAATTGATACTCCCCACCAATGGAGTTTAAACAATTTTTTTTCTTACTTCTTTTTTTTACTTTTACATTTTCTCCAGGATAGTGCTCAGCCCCATGCTATTTATTTGAAAATCCCTTACATTTTAGCCTAGAAAATGGACATTATTGTTTTTTAGCACTTGGCTCCCTTTGACTTCAATGGGGTTAAAATTGGGCAACTGAAGTTCAGTAATGTTTCCTGAACCTGTCTCAAACCGAATACAGGTATGTTGGGCTCATCCCTACTTCTGATAAATATTGAAACATTAACCATACAAGAACATTAAAAAATGTGTTTTGAGGTTACAGCAGTTACCCCTTTTGTAGTGGGGTCTAAAGAATATGTTATCCAGCATGGAATGGGAAAATATGTGGTCTGTAACAAGCAGATTGTGGGGGATAGAAGGTAAATGGAAATTTAATAGAGAAGAATACAAACAATTTTTGCAATGTGCTACTAATGTTAAGTATAATAACACTTCACATGACCAATTCCAGAGCATTATAATTAGAGATGAGCGAATTATCAAAAATTCGATTCGACTGATTCGGCGAAATTCGTGAAAAAATTTTGATTCGAGTCGAATATATTTGCTGCGAATTTAACTTATAAAAGGGTGTTTCTAGGCTTCAGAGAGCCTTTATATTAGCGCAGAACACTGTACCTTTAATTTAAATGCCCTTGGAGTCTGCTGGGGAAGAGAAATAATACTGTCAGTCAGTATGACATGCAGATGAGTGCCGTCGATCTTAGAATCACAGCACACTTCACTCATTTGGGCAGTCACGGGGCCAAAACCAGAGTGTGGAGCCACAGTGTGGCGGTGGAGGCAGCAGCAATGGGAGGCCATACAGCACCCTATGACAAAAATGGAAACCCACCAGCAGTGTGAGGAGACCTGAAAGTGGCACATGGCAGAGTGTGGCGATGGAGACAGCAGCAATGGGAGGCCGTACAGGGACCCATGACACACTCTGGACCTGGCAGCAGCATGAGGAGGCGGTACAGGGGCCCATGACAGATTACGGGCCTGGCAGCAGCATGAGGAGTTGGTACGGGGGCCCATGGCAGATTACGGGCCTGGCAGAAGCAATGGGAGGCCGTACAGGGGCCCATGACACACTCTGGACCTGGCAGCAGCATGAGGAGGCGGTACAGGGGCCCATGACAGATTACGGGCCTGGCAGCAGCATGAGGAGTCGGTACGGGGGCCCATGACACACTCTGGACCTGGCAGCAGCATGAGGAGGCGGTACAGGGGCGCATGACACATTACGAGCCTGGCAGCAGCAACTTGGACAGGAGGACGTTCAGCTTCTGCAATCGGGTGCGTGCTCGCAAACTGTTGTCTCTTGAAAACGGATTCCAAGAAAGACTGCTGACGGAATCCGTGAAGAGGAGTAGCAGGAGAAGGAGCATCTGAACGAGCGGAATATGCCAACAAGCGACAACAGGGGCCCATGACAGATTACGGGCCTGGCAGCAGCATGAGGAGTCGGTACGGGGGCCCATGGCAGATTACGGGCCTGGCAGCAGCAATGGGAGACCCGTAATCTGCCAGCACCCTATGACAAAAAATGGAACCCACCAGCAGTGTGAGGAGACCTGAAAGTGGCACATGGCAGAGTGTGGCGATGGAGACAGCAGCAATGGGAGGCCGTACAGGGACCCATGAGAGACTGTGGACCTGGCAGCAGCATGAGGAGGCGGTACTGGGGCCCATGGCAGATTAAGGGGCCTGGCAGCAGCAATGGGAGGCCCGTAATCTGCCAGCACCCCTATGACAAAAAATGGAACCCACCAGCAGTGGGGAGGCACATGAACCGCCGTACATGGCAGGTTTTCCCAGGCCACCAAATGGCGACGCTGCATATGCTGGGCAACGCCGTAGTCCCAACATGGGCCCCCATGGCCACGCTTGACTTTCTGGCCACATGTCGACATACGGCTACGTTTACTTCCTGAAAGGGGCCCATGACAAAAATTGCCACACACCGCCGAGTAGGAAACTTTGCCCCCGCTACTCCTCACTGGCTGACTGCTACTTCCTCCGTGCACACCGGCACCACACTACGGCCGTGGTGGTAGGCTGCAGTGGAGCTGGTGCTCTACTCCGTGGCCGTTTGCCTCCACTGACACTGCTGCGACCCTGCTGCCTCCTGGACAGCAGCAATGGGAGGCCGTACAGGGACCCATGAGAGACTCTGGACCTGGCAGCAGCATGAGGAGGCGGTACAGGGGCCCATGGCAGATTAGGGGCCTGGCAGCAGCTATGGGAGGCCCGTAATCTGCCAGCACCCTATGACAAAAAATGGAACACACCAGCAGTGTGAGGAGACCTGAAAGTGGCACATGGCAGAGTGTGGCGATGGAGACAGCAGCAATGGGAGGCCGTACAGGGACAGGGACCCATGAGACACTGTGGACCTGGCAGCAGCATGCATGAGGAGGCGGTACAGGGGCCCATGGCAGATTAGGGGCCTGGCAGCAGCATGGGAGGCCCGTAATCTGCCAGCACCCTATGACAAAAAATGGAACACACCAGCAGTGTGAGAGAGACCTGAAAGTGGCACATGGCATGAGACACTGTGGACCTGGCAGCAGCATGAGGAGGCGGTACAGGGGCCCATGGCAGATTAGGGGCCTGGCAGCAGCTATGGGAGGCCCGTAATCTGCCAGCACCCTATGACAAAAAATGGAACACACCAGCAGTGTGTGAGGAGACCTGAAAGTGGCACATGGCAGAGTGTGGCGATGGAGACAGCAGCAATGGGAGGCCGTACAGGGACCCATGAGAGACTGTGGACCTGGCAGCAGCATGAGGAGGCGGTACAGGGGCCCATGGCAGATTAGGGGCCTGGCAGCAGCTATGGGAGGCCCGTAATCTGCCAGCACCCTATGACAAAAAATGGAACACACCAGCAGTGTGAGGAGACCTGAAAGTGGCACATGGCATGAGACACAATGTGGACCTGGCAGCAGCATGAGGAGGACCTGCGGAGGCGGTACAGGGGCCCATGGCAGATTAGGGGCCTGGCAGCAGCTATGGGAGGCCCGTAATCTGCCAGCACCCTATGACAAAAAATGGAACACACCAGAGTGTGTGAGGAGACCTGAAAGTGGCACATGGCAGAGTGTGGCGATGGAGACAGCAGCAATGGGAGGCCGTACAGGGACCCATGAGACACTGTGGACCTGGCAGCAGCATGAGGAGGCGGTACAGGGGCCCATGGCAGATTAGGGGCCTGGCAGCAGCTATGGGAGGCCCGTAATCTGCCAGCACCCTATGACAAAAAATGGAACACACCAGCAGTGTGTGAGGAGACCTGAAAGTGGCACATGGCAGAGTGTGGCGATGGAGACAGCAGCAATGGGAGGCCGTACAGGGACCCATGAGAGACTCTGGACCTGGCAGCAGCATGAGGAGGCGGTAATCAGGGCCCCTATGGCAGATTAGGGGCCTGGCAGCAGCATGGGGAGGCCCGTAATCTGCCAGCACCCTATGACAAAAAAATGGAACACACCAGCAGTGTGAGAGGAGACCTGAAAGTGGCACATGGCATGAGACACTGTGGACCTGGCAGCAGCATGAGGAGGCGGTACAGGGGCCCATGGCAGATTAGGGGCCTGGCAGCAGCTATGGGAGGCCCGTAATCTGCCAGCACCCTATGACAAAAAATGGAACACACCAGCAGTGTGTGAGGAGACCTGAAAGTGGCACATGGCAGAGTGTGGCGATGGAGACAGCAGCAATGGGAGGCCGTACAGGGACCCATGAGAGACTCTGGACCTGGCAGCAGCATGAGGAGGCGGTACAGGGGCCCATGGCAGATTAGGGGCCTGGCAGCAGCTATGGGAGGCCCGTAATCTGCCAGCACCCTATGACAAAAAATGGAACACACCAGCAGTGTGAGGAGACCTGAAAGTGGCACATGGCAGAGTGTGTGGCGATGGAGACAGCACAATGGGAGGCATGGGACCCATGAGACACTGTGGACCTGGCAGCAGCATGAGGAGGCGGTACAGGGGCCCATGGCAGATTAGGGGCCTGGCAGCAGCTATGGGAGGCCCGTAATCTGCCAGCACCCTATGACAAAAAATGGAACACACCAGCAGTGTGTGTGAGGAGACCTGAAAGTGGCACATGGCAGAGTGTGGCGATGGAGACAGCAGCAATGGGAGGCCGTACAGGGACCCATGAGACACTGTGGACCTGGCAGCAGCATGAGGAGGCGGTACAGGGGCCCATGGCAGATTAGGGGCCTGGCAGCAGCTATATGGGAGGCCCGTAATCTGCCAGCACCCTATGACAAAAAATGGAACACAGCAGTGTGAGGAGACCTGAAAGTGGCACATGGCAGAGTGTGGCGATGGAGACAGCAGCAATGGGAGGCCGTACAGGGACCCATGAGACACTGTGGACCTGGCAGCAGCATGAGGAGGCGGTACAGGGGCCCATGGCAGATTAGGGGCCTGGCAGCAGCTATGGGAGGCCCGTAATCTGCCAGCACCCTATGACAAAAAATGGAACACACACAGCAGTGTGTGAGGAGACCTGAAAGTGGCACATGGCAGAGTGTGGCGATGGAGACAGCAGCAATGGGAGGCCGTACAGGGACCCATGAGAGACTCTGGACCTGGCAGCAGCATGAGGAGGCGGTATAGGGGCCCATGGCAGATTAGGGGCCTGGCAGCAGCTATGGGAGGCCCGTAATCTGCCAGCACCCTATGACAAAAAATGGAACACACCAGCAGTGTGAGGAGACCTGAAAGTGGCACATGGCAGAGTGTGGCGATGGAGACAGCAGCAATGGGAGGCCGTACAGGGACCCATGAGAGACTCTGGACCTGGCAGCAGCATGAGGAGGCGGTACAGGGGCCCATGGCAGATTAGGGGCCTGGCAGCAGCTATGGGAGGCCCGTAATCTGCCAGCACCCTATGACAAAAAATGGAACACACCAGCAGTGTGAGGAGAGACCTGAAAGTGGCACATGGCAGAGTGTGGCGATGGAGACAGCAGCAATGGGAGGCCGTACAGGGACCCATGAGAGACTCTGGACCTGGCAGCAGCATGAGGAGGCGGTACAGGGGCCCATGGCAGATTAGGGGCCTGGCAGCAGCTATGGGAGGCCCGTAATCTGCCAGCCCCCTATGACAAAAAATGGAACACACCAGCAGTGTGAGGAGACCTGAAAGTGGCACATGGCAGAGTGTGGCGATGGAGACAGCAGCAATGGGAGGCCGTACAGGGACCCATGAGACACTCTGGACCTGGCAGCAGCATGAGGAGGCGGTACAGGGGCCCATGGCAGATTAGGGGCCTGGCAGCAGCTATGGGAGGCCCGTAATCTGCCAGCACCCTATGACAAAAAATGGAACACACCAGCAGTGTGAGGAGACCTGAAAGTGGCACATGGCAGAGTGGCATGAGACAGCAGCAATGGGAGGCACAGGGACCCATGAGAGACTGGACCTGGCAGCAGCATGAGGAGGCGGTACAGGGGCCCATGGCAGATTAGGGGCCTGGCAGCAGCTATGGGAGGCCCGTAATCTGCCAGCACCCTATGACAAAAAATGGAACACACCAGCAGTGTGAGGAGACCTGAAAGTGGCACATGGCAGAGTGTGGCGATGGAGACAGCAGCAATGGGAGGCCGTACAGGGACCCATGAGAGACTCTGACCTGGCAGCAGCATGAGGAGGCGGTACAGGGGCCCATGGCAGATTAGGGGCCTGGCAGCAGCTATGGGAGGCCCGTAATCTGCCAGCACCCTATGACAAAAAATGGAACACACCAGCAGTGTGAGGAGACCTGAAAGTGGCACATGGCAGAGTGTGGCGATGGAGACAGCAGCAATGGGAATGGGAGGCCGTACAGGGACCCATGAGAGACTCTGGACCTGGCAGCAGCATGAGGAGGCGGTACAGGGGCCCATGGCAGATTAGGGGCCTGGCAGCAGCTATGGGAGGCCCGTAATCTGCCAGCACCCTATGACAAAAAATGGAACACACCAGCAGTGTGAGGAGACCTGAAAGTGGCACATGGCACATGGCATGAGGACACTGGGAGGCCGTGGACCCATGGCAGCAGCATGAGGAGGCGGTACAGGGGCCCATGGCAGATTAGGGGCCTGGCAGCAGCTATGGGAGGCCCGTAATCTGCCAGCACCCTATGACAAAAAATGGAACACACCAGCAGTGTGAGGAGACCTGAAAGTGGCACATGGCAGAGTGTGGCGATGGATGGAGACAGCAGCAATGGGAGGCCGTACAGGGACCCATGAGAGACTCTGGACCTGGCAGCAGCATGAGGAGGCGGTATAGGGGCCCATGGCAGATTAGGGGCCTGGCAGCAGCTATGGGAGGCCCGTAATCTGCCAGCACCCTATGACAAAAAATGGAACACACCAGCAGTGTGAGGAGACCTGAAAGTGGCACATGGCATGGCATGAGACACAGCAATGGGAGGCCGTACAGGGACCCATGAGAGACTGGCAGCAGCATGAGGAGGCGGTACAGGGGCCCATGGCAGATTAGGGGCCTGGCAGCAGCTATGGGAGGCCCGTAATCTGCCAGCACCCTATGACAAAAAATGGAACACACCAGCAGTGTGTGAGGAGACCTGAAAGTGGCACATGGCAGAGTGTGGCGATGGAGACAGCAGCAATGGGAGGCCGTACAGGGACCCATGAGAGACTCTGGACCTGGCAGCAGCATGAGGAGGCGGTATAGGGGCCCATGGCAGATTAGGGGCCTGGCAGCAGCTATGGGAGGCCCGTATCTGCCAGCACCCTATGACAAAAAATGGAACACACCAGCAGTGTGAGGAGACCTGAAAGTGGCACATGGCAGAGTGTGGCATGGAGACAGCAGCAATGGGAGGCCGTATGACCCATGAAGTGGACCTGGCAGCAGCATGAGGAGGCGGTACAGGGGCCCATGGCAGATTAGGGGCCTGGCAGCAGCTATGGGAGGCCCGTAATCTGCCAGCACCCTATGACAAAAAATGGAACACACCAGCAGTGTGAGGAGACCTGAAAGTGGCACATGGCAGAGTGATGGAGACAGCAGCAATGGGAGGCCGTACAGGGGACCCATGAGAGACTGTGGACCTGGCAGCAGCATGAGGAGGCGGTACAGGGGCCCATGGCAGATTAGGGGCCTGGCAGCAGCTATGGGAGGCCCGTAATCTGCCAGCACCCTATGACAAAAAAATGGAACACACCAGCAGTGTGTGAGGAGACCTGAAAGTGGCACATGGCAGAGTGTGGCGATGGAGACAGCAGCAATGGGAGGCCGTACAGGGACCCATGAGAGACTCTGGACCTGGCAGCAGCATGAGGAGGCGGTACAGGGGCCCATGGCAGATTAGGGGCCTGGCAGCAGCTATGGGAGGCCCGTAATCTGCCAGCACCCTATGACAAAAAATGGAACACACCAGCAGTGTGAGGAGACCTGAAAGTGGCACATGGCAGAGTGTGGCGATGGCAGCAGCATGGGAGGCCGTACAGGGACCCATGAGACTGGACCTGGCAGCAGCATGAGGAGGCGGTACAGGGGCCCATGGCAGATTAGGGGCCTGGCAGCAGCTATGGGAGGCCCGTAATCTGCCAGCACCCTATGACAAAAAAAATGGAACACACCAGCAGTGTGTGAGGAGACCTGAAAGTGGCACATGGCAGAGTGTGGCGATGGAGACAGCAGCAATGGGAGGCCGTACAGGGACCCATGAGAGACTCTGGACCTGGCAGCAGCATGAGGAGGCGGTATAGGGGCCCATGGCAGATTAGGGGCCTGGCAGCAGCTATGGGAGGCCCGTAATCTGCCAGCACCCTATGACAAAAAATGGAACACACACAGCAGTGTGAGGAGAGACCTGAAAGTGTGGCACATGGCATGAGACAGCAGCAATGTGGGACCCATGGCACTCTGGACCTGCAGCATGAGGAGGCGGTACAGGGGCCCATGGCAGATTAGGGGCCTGGCAGCAGCTATGGGAGGCCCGTAATCTGCCAGCACCCTATGACAAAAAATGGAACACACCAGCAGTGTGAGGAGACCTGAAAGTGGCACATGGCATGTGGCGATGGACACAGCAGCATGGACCCGTGGGACATGCAGCATGGACCTGGGCAGCATGAGGAGGCGGTACAGGGGCCCATGGCAGATTAGGGGCCTGGCAGCAGCTATGGGAGGCCCGTAATCTGCCAGCACCCTATGACAAAAAATGGAACACACCAGCAGTGTGTGAGGAGACCTGAAAGTGGCACATGGCAGAGTGTGGCGATGGAGACAGCAGCAATGGGAGGCCGTACAGGGACCCATGAGAGACTCTGGACCTGGCAGCAGCATGAGGAGGCGGTATAGGGGCCCATGGCAGATTAGGGGCCTGGCAGCAGCTATGGGAGGCCCGTAATCTGCCAGCACAGCACCTATGACAAAAAATGGAACACCAGCAGTGTGTGAGGAGACCTGAAAGTGGCACATGTGCATGAGACACAGCAATGGGAGGCCGTACAGGGACCCATGAGAGACTCTGGACCTGGCAGCATGAGGAGGCGGTACAGGGGCCCATGGCAGATTAGGGGCCTGGCAGCAGCTATGGGAGGCCCGTAATCTGCCAGCACCCTATGACAAAAAATGGAACACACCAGCAGTGTGAGAGGACCCTGAAAGTGGCACATGGCAGAGTGTGGCGATGGAGACAGCAGCAATGGGAGGCCGTACAGGGACCCATGAGAGACTCTGGACCTGGCAGCAGCATGAGGAGGCGGTATAGGGGCCCATGGCAGATTAGGGGCCTGGCAGCAGCTATGGGAGGCCCGTAATCTGCCAGCACCCTATGACAAAAAATGGAACACACCAGCAGTGTGAGGAGACCTGAAAGTGGCACATGTGCGATGAGACAGCAGCAATGGAGGCCGTACAGGGACCCATGAGAGACTCTGGACCTGGCAGCAGCATGAGGAGGCGGTACAGGGGGGGCCCATGGCAGATTAGGGGCCTGGCAGCAGCTATGGGAGGCCCGTAATCTGCCAGCACCCTATGACAAAAAATGGAACACACCAGCAGTGTGAGAGGACCTGAAAGTGGCACATGGCAGAGTGGAGACAGCAGCAATGGGAGGCCGTACAGGGACCCATGAGAGACCTGGACAGCAGCATGAGGAGGCGGTACAGGGGCCCATGGCAGATTAGGGGCCTGGCAGCAGCTATGGGAGGCCCGTAATCTGCCAGCACCCCTATGACAAAAAATGGAACACACCAGCAGTGTGTGAGGAGACCTGAAAGTGGCACATGGCAGAGTGTGGCGATGGAGACAGCAGCAATGGGAGGCCGTACAGGGACCCATGAGAGACTCTGGACCTGGCAGCAGCATGAGGAGGCGGTATAGGGGCCCATGGCAGATTAGGGGCCTGGCAGCAGCTATGGGAGGCCCGTAATCTGCCAGCACCCTATGACAAAAAATGGAACACACCAGCAGTGTGAGGAGACCTGAAAGTGGCACATGGCACATGGCATGAGGCATGAGACACTGTGGACCTGGGACAGCAGCATGAGCAGCAGAGGAGGGCGTACAGGGGCCCATGGCAGATTAGGGGCCTGGCAGCAGCTATGGGAGGCCCGTAATCTGCCAGCACCCTATGACAAAAAAAATGGAACACACCAGCAGTGTGAGAGGAGACCTGAAAGTGGCACATGGCAGAGTGTGGCGATGGAGACAGCAGCAATGGGAGGCCGTACAGGGACCCATGAGAGACTCTGGACCTGGCAGCAGCATGAGGAGGCGGTACAGGGGCCCATGGCAGATTAGGGGCCTGGCAGCAGCTATGGGAGGCCCGTAATCTGCCAGCACCCTATGACAAAAAATGGAACACACCAGCAGTGTGTGAGGAGACCTGAAAGTGGCACATGGCAGAGTGTGGCGATGGAGACAGCAGCAATGGGAGGCCGTACAGGGACCCATGAGAGACTCTGGACCTGGCAGCAGCATGAGAGGCGGTACAGGGGCCCATGGCAGATTAGGGGCCTGGCAGCAGCTATGGGAGGCCCGTAATCTGCCAGCACCCTATGACAAAAAATGAACACACCAGCAGTGTGTGAGGAGACCTGAAAGTGGCACATGGCAGAGTGTGGCGATGGAGACAGCAGCAATGGGAGGCCGTACAGGGACCCATGAGAGACTCTGGACCTGGCAGCAGCATGAGGAGGCGGTATAGGGGGGCCATGGCAGATTAGGGGCCTGGCAGCAGCTATGGGAGGCCCGTAATCTGCCAGCACCCTATGACAAAAAAAAAATGGAACACACCAGCAGTGTGAGGAGACCTGAAAGTGGCACATGTTTGGGGCATGATTCATGGCGGATTTAGTCAGTTGTGTCAGGAACTGGTGGTTTGAAATCCAGACTAATCCACGCCTGATTCATTTTCACAAACGTGAGTCTCTCCACACTTTGGGTGGACAGTCGTGTGTCCCGCCGCGGAGTTACAATACCTCCTGCCGCACTAAACACGCGCTCCGATGCCACGCTACTGGCCGGGCATGACAGCCTTTCAAGGGGGCAAATTCAGCTAGTTGGGCAAAGGTCAAGTTTCGTTGCCCAGTAGTCAAGGGGATTGTCTACCTCGGTTGGCAGGGTGCTGTCCAAGTAGGCCCAAGCCTGTTGTTTGAGGTCCTGCTCCAGGTCCACCTGATGCTGCTGCTGCTGCGGCTGGTTAGTAGTTTCCTCACTGCGCTGGTGAAGAAAGCTACTCATCATCGACTGCAGACTGAGGCAGCCGCTGCTGGTGGAGCTGCCACTGCTCCTACCACCCCCCCCCCTCCCCTGCTGCCATGGCAGCGGAACGCGAGCGCACAGGGCCCACAGTGTCTGAGGATGGACGTTGGCGCACAAAGGCAGAGACCAACTGACTACATAGGTGGTTTTTTAGTACGTTACGTTTTTTGCCTCCCTCTCAGCAGGTGTGAAAAAGGCCACCATTTTTGAACGGTAGCGAGGGTCCAACAAGGTGGACAGCCAAAAGTCATCCCTCTGTCTGATGGTTATTATTCGGCTGTCGCTACGCAAGCAAGCGAGAGCATGCTGGGCCATTTGTGCCAAGGAATGCGAGGGACTCCCTGCCTCCATCTCCACAGCATACTGCCACGGTGCGTCTGGGTCCTCTGTCTCCTCCTCCTCCTCCTCTACCAGATGCTCCTGCTCCTCCACTCCTGTCCGCTGAGTGGAAAAACCACCCATTTCACTCAATAATTCCTGAGCACAAATGTCCTCCTCTACCTCCTCCTCTTCTTCCTGTCCTGCCCCCCCACAGGGGTCATGTGGCGTTGAGATCTGTGCGCCACGTCTACCGCACCCTGACCAGCCATTGTTAACAGCATTTGTTCCAGGACGTGCAACAGAGGAATGACGTCGTTCATCCCATAGTCCTGCCGACTCACGAATAGCGTGGCCTCCTCAAAGGGCCTGAGCAAGCGGCAGGTGTCACGCATGAGCTGCCAATGGCTGACATCGAAGTTACACAGGGGAGTACCTTTATCCGCTTGTAACATCAGGAAATCGGTGATGGCCTTTGCTGTTCGTAAAGGCGGTCTAACATGTGTAGGGTTGAATTCCACCTTGTTGCAACGTCGCAGATCAGGCGATGCTGTGGAATTCCGTTCTGCCGCTGCAGCTCAAGGAGGGTGTGCTTTGCGGTGTAGGAATGGCTGAAATGCATGCAAAGTTTACGTGACATTTTAAGGATGTCTTGCAGTGGGATGGTGGATTTTAGGAACCGCTTGACAACCAGATTGAACACGTGAGCCATGCATGGCGCATGGCACAACCTTCCTTGACGCAGAGCAGACACCATGTTCTTTCCGTTGTCGGTCAACATGGTTCCGATTTTCAGTTTGCGCGGAGACAGCCATCTGTCGATTTCTCTGTTCATTACACTGAGAAGTTCCTCCCCTGTGTGACTACGTTCGCCAAGGCATACCAGGTGCAGCACAGCGTGACACCGTTGCGCCCTGCACATGTGATATGCCGGTCGGGTAATGGGACTTGGCACGGGGGTGGCGGCTGAGGACACGGCGGAAGAAGAGGTGGTAGAGGCGGACATCTTTTGTGGACCAAGGACGTGCAAACGTGGAGGCAAAAGCGGCGTGACCTGTCCAAGTTGCTGGTGCGGCTGTGACGGCACCACGTTCACCCAGTGGGCCGTAAATGACATGTACTGTCCCTGACCGTAGTTACAGCTCCACACGTCGGCGCTGCCGTGCACTTTGGCAGAGACCGACATGCTCAAAGACTGGCCCACCATCTCTTCTACATGTGAATGCAGGGCTGGCACTGCCTTTTTGGCGAAGAAATGACGGCTTGGCACTCTCCACCGCGGCGCGGCACAAGCCATCATTTCTCGGAAAGGTGCTGAGTCCACCACTTGGAAAGGGAGGGACTGCAGCACCAGCAACTTGGACAGGAGGACGTTCAGCTTTTGCACCGTCGGGTGCGTGCTCGCAAACTGTTGTCTCTTGGAAACGGATTCCAAGAAAGACTGCTGACGGAATCCGTGAAGAGGAGTAGTAGGAGAAGGAGCATCTGAACGAGCGGAAGATGCCAACGAGCGACAACTCCCCTCAGCAGAGGTGTTGGAGCCTTGACTGGCTGATAGAGGGCGATTGACGTCGGGTGACGGAGCAAGTAACGGAGCGGGTGATGGAGCGGGGGCTGGGGCGGGCAGAACCGCCGTATCTTTATCACGGTTTTCCCAGGCCACCAAATGGCGACGCTGCATATGCTGCCGCAACGCTGTAGTCCCAACATGGGCCCCCTGGCCACGCTTGACTTTCTGGCCACATAGTCGACATACGGCTACGTTTACTTCCTCGGGCGGCTTGACAAAAAATTGCCACACCGCCGAGTAGGAAACTTTGCCCCCGATACTCCTCACTGGCTGACTGCTGCTTCCTCCGTGCACACCGGCACCACTACTGGCCGTGGTGGTAGGCTGCAGTGGAGCTGGTGCTGTACTCCGTGGCCGTTTGCCTCCACTGACACTGCTGCGACCCTGCTGCCTCCTGGGCACCACCGACCGACTGTTTTGCTCGCTGCCAAGCTGCCACCCTCTTCTCCTGATGATGCGGAAGCAATAGCCTGATGACGACGAGGCTGCCAAGTGCGATCAGCCTCATCATCATCAATTAGGGTCTCCGCCTCACTACTAGCCCCCTCGGCTGCGTGTGGGTCAGGAGACAGACCTGTCTCTAGACCGGCTACCGAGCCACTCTCCTCGCCACTACTTCTTCGCCTGGCTGCTGAAGAGGCGGATGTCTCCCCCCCCCCGTTCCTGACCGCCCTCTGTTAGCTCTTCCTCACTGTACAGTGGGGCTGAGCCCACAGCATGCGATACTTCGCTTGGTGAGGGAACACCAAAGGACAGGGGCAGGTAGAGGACACGTGATTTCAGTGGGCTTGCTCCCGGGCCATGCCAACTAACGGTTGTGTCTGACGTACCCACCGACCGTTGGCTGTAGGTGTCAGAGGTGACCTGGGAAGAAGAAGACGACCGAGCCAACCAATCGATGACGGCAGGGGTTGTCGGTGGAGACACGACCGCTGGATGACACCGGGAGCACTGGCCTCTGGCTGCGACTATAGTGCTGCCTCGACCCCTTCCTCTGCTGCCACGTCTGCTCGCTCCTAAAACATTGCCTCCTCTGCCACTCCTCTGCATGTTGTCTGACATACTCTTTAATTAAACGATTCTGTGTCCCTGAGTAACAATTCTGTGTCTGAGTAACCCCCTGAGTAACAATTCTGTGTCCCTGAGTAACAATTCTGTGTCCCTCAGTAACAATTCTGTGTCCCTCAGTAACAATTCTGTGTCCCCCTCAGTAACAATTCTGTGTCCCTCAGTAACAATTCTGTGTCCCTCAGTAACAATTCTGTGTCCCTGTAACAATTCTGTGTCCCTGAGTAACAATTCTGTAACAATTCTGTGTCCCTGAGTAACAATTCTGTGTCCCTCAGTAACAATTCTGTGTCCCTCAGTAACAATTCTGTGTCCCTCAGTAACAATTCTGTGTCCCTGAGTAACAATTCTTGTCCCTCCCTAACAATTCTGTGTCCCCCTCAGTAACAATTCTGTGTCCCTGAGTAACAATTCTGTGTCCCTGAGTAACAATTCTGTGTCCCTCAGTAACAATTCTGTGTCCCCTCAGTAACAATTCTGTGTCCCTCAGTAACAATTCTGTGTCCCTGAGTAACAATTCTGTGTCCCCTGAGTAACAATTCTGTGTCCCTCAGTAACAATTCTGTGTCCCTCAGTAACAATTCTGTGTCCCTCAGTAACAATTCTGTGTCCCTCAGTAACAATTCTGTGTCCCCTGAGTAACAATTCTGTGTCCCTGAGTAACAATTCTGTGTCTGTCCCTCAGTAACAATTCTGTGTCCCTCAGTAACAATTCTGTGTCCCTCAGTAACAATTCTGTGTCCCTAAGTAACAATTCTGTGTCCCTAAGTAACAATTCTGTGTCCCTCAGTAACAATTCTGTGTCCCTCAGTAACAATTCTGTGTCTGTCCCTGAGTAACAATTCTGTGTGTCCCTGAGTAACAATTGTGTGTCCCTCAGTAACGTTCTGTGTCCCTCAGTAACAATGTGTCCCTGTGTTGTCTGTGTCCCTCAGTAACAATTCTGTGTCCCTGAGTAACAATTCTGTGTCCCTCAGTAACAATTCTGTGTCCCTCAGTAACAATTCTGTGTCCCTCAGTAACAATTCTGTGTCCCTGTAACAATTCTGT